CATAAGGTTATTAAGACAAAATAAGGTTAGTTCTGAATTGAAATCTAACTAGGAGGCCATTTGAGACATCCTCCCACTTTGACCCTGTTACTCGTGCATTTTGTTCACTCTCAGTTTCGAGTATCCAAATCGCCATGGCGGTGGCGACGAGCCTCGCTTCGCTTCTGGAGCAGCTCAAAGTGGAGGAGCCATACCTTCCGCCGCGAAATTGGGAATCCTTACATTCTCAGAGCGGCCGATTTCCTCTTCCGACTCGTGCTTCTGCTTCTCCTTCCTCTGTTACTGTAAGTTTAGTGCCGCAACGATGTACGTTATTCATGTGTCCTGAGCCAAGGTACTCTTAGGGAAAGAGGAACTTGCATTTCGCTCTCGCGTGAATGTCTCTTTGTTTCCACCAACTCTGTCGCTTCGATCGGAAACCTAATACGGGGATTTGGTCAAGTATCAACTTTATTTATTTATTGATTTGAGTTCGATCAGGATCAATCTAGGGTTTTGGGTTCCAAAACGCAGTAAGATGATTGATAGTGTGTCATTTGCTAGTGCTCCATCTCTGGCTAATTTTCTAAAGGAAGAGTACCTTCACCTATTGTTCTCTTAATGATTTTCGACTACTTCTCCCTTCTCCCACATTTTCTGACATTTCTTGCTTGTAATAGGAATCAAGCTTGGTTAGGCTGGCCTTGAATGCTCTGCAAGGTGTTGAGTCTTCTCTTCTCAGCATTGAGAAAATCTCTTCTGCATTATGCTCTGAGCCAGCTGACAGGACCCTCCACAAAATTCCGAGCTTGTGGCATCGGTTGTCAAGCACTGATGCGTTGGGCCAGATTCTTAGAACCATAGGCTGCTTTGGTTCTTTGGTCTTTCTTCTCCATAAGTTCGTAGACCATTTCACCAGCTTGAAGTTGGATGCTGTTGAGGGACATGAGAGCTGTGAAATAGGTGAAAATGAAGATATTTCTTCTGGTAGAGCCAAAAACAACAACTCCTATACTCTTGTTAATCAGGCTTTTGCTATTGCTGTGAGAAAGGTCCTAGAAGGCTATATATCTGGACTGGATACATTATGTGCATCTATAGAACTGAGGCGTTCATCTAACATTGTGGATGGGCCTGACAATTGTTCCTCTTGGTTAGGCTGCCTTACAAACGTAGTTCATCCAAAGATTACACTATTGGAAGTTTTCCTGCATACTAGAGAGTTAAGAACACAGATTGAAGCTCTTGCCAACATATGTGATTTGTATGATATATCACTATCTTATTGTGGCTCTCCTTGGGAATCTCTGATTACTAAAGCAACCGCGCGATATCATGGTTTCTACAGAGGAAGCGACCTGCTTACTTACTTATATTCACAACTACAGGTCAGGCTAAGTTATGTTCCTCATAAAGTATTTGTATTTTTTTTTTCCACGACTCACATAGCTACCAATTAATGTAGACTAGAGGCACCTTCGGTTACAGTAGTTTCCCATTCACATTTCAGTGATGGTTACTTTGTGTCATTAAATTTTGCATATTTGTACTCTCTACGCTAGCATAATCAACCCCTGGATTTACAGTTTCAAAGAAATCTGAAATACTATCACTACATGGCTTTTAAATAATTCTACGCCCCTTTTGATGTGGTCCACTTGATATAGTGATGAATTCGCAAGTTATGCTTAACGTAAGTGATATACATAGCCTGAAAAGTCTAGAATTTGCACGCGCGTAAACTATTTATGCCGAGCGAGGAGCTTGTACAACTTAAAATCTTTTGTTCTCATTATAGTTTCCCAACATATTTTGTTGTAGGTTGCTGATCCTGCTCACAGTGCCGTGCTTAAGTTTTTGTTCCTCAAAACATGTGAGCCATATTGTGAGTTTATAAGATCTTGGATATTTAAAGCCGAGCTTAATGATCCTCATAAGGAGTTCATTGTGGAATGTGTCAGTGAATCGACATCTTTTTTTTGGAGTAAGCCAGGCATCTCCCCATTGAAGAGGGTTACGGTAATATTTTCTTCTCGTTTTCTGCATCTTTGATTTTTAGTTTTAAACCATTGGTATTAGATTGCTTCCATTTCTGCACTCTAGGAACGAGAGGGAGTGCTTGTTCCATGTTTCTTGAACGGCTTCTTGGTACCTATTCTAAGGGCTGGTCAACAGCTCCAAGTAATTACAAAACTTCTTGAATTGTGTAATCTTCCTGCATCTGGGCACAAAAATTACACAGATCTTCTTCCCTGTTGGACGTATTATTCTACCAGTCCAGGGTACCCATCTCCAATAACTTTCAGCAAATTACATATAGAAGTGATGATAAAGGAAAGAGACGATTACTATGGCAGAATGCAAAAAACACTTGGTGACTTTTCAAAAAAGTTTGAACTATTCCCTGGCCAGGTATCGTGCTTCTTTTGATTTTTTGTTTATTTATCAATCCGTAGCTCTTGACTTCTTGTTTTTATTTCTGAAGCTTTGGTCTTTTTGGTTTATATGTCCGATGATACTCAGTCATTGCTATGCTAGCTCTGACTTTGCTCGTTTTGCCATAGGTGGTATTACTCTGTTATGAAATCAATTTTTTTCCTAGGTAATTTAACATTTTACTAATAGTTCAGTTAACTTCGTGTTATACTGTAGTTTTAAATTTTTTATGGAAATCATGTGCATTGTATATCCCGAACGATATCAAATATCTACTTTTGATCCTACATTGTAAACTATAATATCAAAATCATTTATTGGGAATCTCTGTGATATAGTAACTTCCAGATGTCTTGGTTAAACAAGACCTTAAAGTGCATGTAAGTGCAGATCTTAAATGCATACTGCATCGTCATTGTCGGTTTTGCATTGCACTTGAGGATTCCTTCATATCTCACTATTCAGCATTGTAGAAGCGTCCTATTCTCTGGTTTTCTGGTCTCTGAGCTGATTTGTGGTAGTGAGTAATATAGGAACCTAAATGCATCTCTATTTTTGTTGTATTTGTAGCTATCAAGGATTTATTTCTGCACTAATTTTTTCTGTTCTATCTTGTATTGACATTTTGATTTTAGGTTCCTGGAGCAATATCTGTACCAATATCTTATGGCGACGGAGAAAAAATTAAGAAAAGTTTGGATAATTTCACACTGGATGAGAGTTTACTAATTCCTTCAACAGTGGCAATGGACTTGACCAGGTGTTTTTCCTATTTCTATGTATCATTTACCCCCAGCCTGCTGAACATGAATTGATGACATTTCCTTGGGACTTCAGGGACCAGAGTGGTTCGGATTCTGATGACCAGAAATCAGAAGACAGATGGTTTTCAGAGGTAGATGCGTCATGCTCATCTGAATATTCATCGACTAGGGACTCTTTGGATGCATTGGATGTTGGACTCCTGGATTCACAAAGTACATTAGTGGGACCTTCACAAAATTATTTATCAGCTCTATGTTTCTCTGTTGCCTCTGATGGCAATTGTAATCAGAATCTGGTTCAGCATAGTGAATCCGGTTATATAGACAATAACTTTGTGAGGAAAGGTGAGAAGGCAGATACTCATTGCCAGTGGATGGATACTGAGCCAGAAGAGTCAACTGAAGTATGTGAGGATGATAAATTTAGGGGACCCCTTTCTATTAAGTCATGGCCCCTTGGTGGATTACCTAGAAATCCATTTTGTGCTGATAAGAAGTACGCTCAAGATGACAGAGAATATCCACGAATTGATTCAGGAGCTAGGATAAAGCAGAGGAACGTAATGAATACTGATGAAAGCACACTATTTTCAACCGACAATCCCACTGGTGATAGTTGTTTGAAGCACGAGAGAAAACAAGAGTTGCTGGAATACTGTTCCTCATCAAAATTATATTTGTTGAAAGACGCAAAGGTGAACTATCCTTACGAGGTGCTCAGTATGAATCCTGTGCTAAGATGTGATTTCTTGCGCAAGCATGGAAACACAAATGGGAGGGACCAGGGAAAATCATTGCCTTGGTTTGATTTTTCTGCAGTGGATGACCCTTCCAAAACATGTCTTGCGAGGATACCTGTAGGTTTCCCTATTGATTTACACCTGGAATCTCATAGTTCTCAGACTGATAGAAAGAGTCATCGCCATGCCAACCAAGAATGTGGCCTAGACAGGTTTAATGTTGAAGATCCTAAAGTTTCTTGCAGTTATTTATCTTCGGGTTTAAAAAGTTGCACTGAAGAAAAAAAAACAGATGCATTTGGTGGAAGTAGATGGGAGGGTATGCTTCTCAGGTCAAATAACCCTGAAATTTGTGCATCTCGTGATTGCATACAGAACTCTGGTACATTTGAATTGCCTCTTGATTTTGTTATAGACAAGTGTCTACTGCAGGAAATACGTCTTCAGTATCCTTCTCAATGCTTTTGTTTGCTATAGATATACATATTTAGGTTTAAAACTGGATATATGGCTGTCTTTTTCCTTTTAGGGGTTCTCTTCATAACATGTCATGACTATTCATAAATCACTTTTCCTTAACAAACAAAAGATATAACTATGTCAGTAAGCTAGCGATCAAGTTGCTCGAAGAAGGATTTGGCTTGCAAGAACATCTGCTAGCTCTACGCAGATATCATTTTATGGAGCTAGCTGACTGGGCAGATGTATTTGTAGTGTCCCTCTGGCATCATGTAAGTCTGCTATCAATCTATTTTATTGTGATGATACTTTTAACATATCTGGATGATCCTTATATTTTCTTTCATTTGGATTCCCAGAAGTGGCTTGTTACAGAGGCAGATAAGAGAATTGCAGGAATCCAAGGGTTTCTTGAATCATCAATTCAGAGATCATCATGCGAACGAGACACTTGTAAGGACAGGTTATTTGTGTACAAAAGACAAGGCACAATGCATCTCCCACCATCAACCATTGGTATCGCCTTGCACTTAGCAAATTAATTACTACTGTGCGGGGTGAATTATTTAATTTGATACTGATGTGTGGAAAATTGCAGGAGTGCGTTCCTTTGATTTCCTAGGGTTGGGTTATCGAGTTGACTGGCCAATCAGTATAATTTTGACATGTGATGCGTTGAAAGCATATGCTGATGTATTTAGTTTTCTGGTTCAAGTGAAACTAGCAGCCTATGCATTAACTGATGTCTGGTGTTCGCTGAAGGTAAAGGTTCAACTTTGTTGATTTGCTGTTTGTGCCTCTTAACATAACTTTCGTTGCAATTTTCTTAATTCTTCATGGAAGATGTGATTTGAAAATGTTTTTTATGTTCTGCCTGATACTTCTCGTAAGCACTACTTATCTTCTGGTATTTTGATGGCACAATGACTATACTGTCCTTTTAGGATGTAAGACATAAGATGCATGAGAACAAAGAGGAGATTGCGAAGCGAGAACTCCGATGGTTAAACATATTGATGAAACTAAGGTAAATTCAAAAATAAAAGCTTAACACTTTCATAAGTTCATGGTGACTCATTGAGCTAAGTATCTATTAGGCAATGCAACTGCATGAGCTTATACATGGTGATCATATTTCTTCTGGCATGACCATTTATAAGAGTAACAGAAAGCATTGATTATCTGTGAAAAGGCTAAATGTCATTTGATAAACATTTGTATTGTTTCTCCATCACTATGCTTGTATGATACACAATGCATTCTTCAGATCATGGAGTCTATACGTTCTCATTGATCTCTTTGACATCTTTCTTTTGTGTGCCAGGCATCAGGTCAACCATTTTGTATCAGCATTACAGCAATATGTACATTCGGAATTGTCTCATGTATCATGGTCCAAGTTCCTTTATTCCCTGAAGCATAAGGTCTGGGCACACACCTTACACTCTACAGTTTATTTGGTCAAAATATAAATATGCTTCTATGATGGCCTGCTGAAATGCTATGTTTTTGTTTGATTGTTGAGTATGAGTGCCTCAAGCGAACATCTGTCACTATAGCTTATTGGTGCTGGTTTCACATCATTGTTTAGCTACTCTGAAACCAAAGTGCACAGTGTATAATTTTATTGTGATATCAGTGGCGGTTTTCTTTTTAATTGTTTCTGTATTAGACTTACACATCCAACATCCTTTGGTTGTTCAGGTCAAGGATATGATGGATCTAGAGTCTGTGCATATGGCTTATCTTAGCGAAGCTCTGCGCATGTAAGCCTTGTTTTCTATCGGCTTCAGAAGCCATAATTCAGTTGCAAAGCAAAAATTTGCTTCCTACCTTTTGTGGCACTGTAATTTGACTGACCTGCTCGTTGGACATACACCATATAATCTAACCGCCCATTATCAAACACTTGGCAGATGTTTCCTATCTGAAGAAACCCGAGTCATATCTAACATGATAGAGAACATTCTGCAATGCGCACTGGACTTCCGGTCTTGTCTTCCCCAGAGTACAGGTGGAGTTCCAAACGATTCATGGAAAAAAGCGCTAGGCATAAACACGTCTCAGGTAAATGAAGAAGATGAAAAACGTGCATATCAAATCCTTTTATCGAGTTTGTTGCGAGAGCTGAGTGTAGATTCATATTAAACAGGTGATGATGGTGAAGAAGAAGTTTGACAAAGAGTTGAAGGAGCTGCATTTGTGTCACCTGAGATCACCAAAACATGGGAGGTGTGGGCTCTCACGCTTCTGGGACTGCCTCAATTTCAACCTTTACTATTCAGATATCCTTCATGACTTATTCCTTAGAACCAATATCTGATATACTCTTGTGTCTTGTATATTTTTGTTTTGTAAAATATGATTCACTTTTAAGTGTTTTTTGTTTTCTCACACGAATAATTGAGCTCTATTATTTGATATCTTCCGGTCACTCAAAAGTCATGTTTTTGCTAAGTAGGGAATTCCTCTTTTTGTGGGCATCTCTTCTTGTCCATTTAGAGACAAAAACAAGTGTAGGCATAATACATGTAGCTACGTCAACAGTCCCAATTTAGTGGTGAAAGCGAAATCCACTATCCCCTCAAGATCTCGGAATGCTAATTATATAATAATACTTGGACAAGAGATATTCCGTATATACTTAGTGTACTCTCTTCTTCCG